GTCGTCGATTGCTCAATCATCCATCAAGGATAAAGTCTTTAACAGGTTTTGGGCCTTCTGCTGTTCAAGAACGATTTTTAAATGTTAAACAGGTCTGTCTAAGAAATTTCTTTCTTTAATATGGCTGGAATTATTTTTAACTTGTAATATGTAAAATGTTTTGTCATTTATATTTTATAAAGAATGTTTGAGTGATGTATTTCATTGTTCTACATTCTAAAACAGCCAAATTTTTAGAAATTATCATTCATGCTTACAGGGAAGTATTTGTAATTGTCTGTTTCTTTGTGATTCTTAATTATTTGATTAAAAAAAGAGGGTAATTAAATGATTTAGTACAGTGATTATCATATGATCCTGTCTTAAAATGGACTAGGAATTTCATCATCTTTCATGTCTAGGTAAGTAAAAAGAAAGCGTGTTATATCAAAGGAGGTAAAGGTCATTATGCATATTTAAGAAATGCAACATGATAAGAATGTCAATTCTAAGATGAATATGTCTTCCACATACATGCTTGTGAGAAAGAGGATTTTGAAGAACATATGTTAAAGTTTAAGATGAGCTTTATTTATATAGCATTATATGTAACTCCTGACATGTTCATTGTTGTTCAAATACAATAAGATCCAAGGTTTCTACCAAGGACAAGGCATAAAAAATACTATCAGCTCTTATGAATTTTTGTAGTACATAGGACATATAAGTTTCTGTACTTATTCTATGAAAGTGTATCATAAGTTGATGTAAAAAGTTTGGTGATGATTTTACTGTGTGATTATAGGCAGTAGGGTTCAGAATATGAATTTAAGATTTCTGTTTACTGTTTGCATATCGTTTAATGTAACTGTTGGTATTTATCTTAGCATCTTTTGTGTGAATAAAGTTGGCAATAACAATATTGCTTAATCCATCAGCAGTGAGTATTAAATTGTTTAGTCATTCAGTGAAAAATACTAGCACCTTTCTTAACAATATTTAGTTTTTTAAAGGCTAAATTAACTCTTTTCTTGTGTATTTTAATTTTATTTGTAAATTTACTTGAGTTGTGTGTGTCTGTGCTGTATATATATATATTACTGCTTAAAGAAGATACAAGTTTACATTGAAATATCTGTTGTTCTATTTTATCAATTTTGTGGTACAAGCTTTAGGGAAAAATATCATACTTAGCCTTGTCTTATAACTTATCCAGACTTTGCTGTTTTTAGATGAAAAACAGGATTCCCAGAACACTATTCTGCCCTCCTTTTATCTTGGCAACCACAAAAGACAAACAAATAGAACTTGGGGAAATGTTTGGAGACTGTCAAGAGAAATCTTCTGTTTTATATTGTTGCTATTGTCCTACTGAGGATCATCGTTGGCTGCTTGCTTGTTGCATCAATGAAAAAGGAGATATCTTGGAGAACTGTTGTATCAATATTGATATTCCAGACAGGTAAACTTGTCTCATGGTAAAGTAGAACACAATGGCAACACCTAATGAAAGTTTATAGGGAGGGGGGTGTCATTGACATCCTTTAATATTTTTCCTTCTCACAATGGAAATAATCAAACAAATTGCATGAATCTTAGTAAAAACTTAAACAGTGCTTAGCTTCAACTTTAAAAAAATAATTTTTCACAGGAAATTTCCAAAATTTTATCAAGAGACACTGTGTTGAAAAAACATTAGACATACCTCCTTTTGTCTTAAAATTCCATTTTTGTTATTGATTAGAAAGTTCCATTTTATATATCAAGTAAGTTTCAACTTTATTGTGATGCATTAAAGTATATCTTTTGATGCTTTGTTTTGCTGATTACAGTAGTCATCACTTTTACCTATAAATCATAAAAAAATGACAAATATATATTGCTGATCTTTGACCTGACCTTTAACAATGCATTGGTCAGGCTAGGTAACAGTACTTTTGTTAACAATATTCCTTGTCAAAATCAATTTTTACCCATTAAATATGTTTTATTTTCAATAAATGAGAAATTCATTTTATTTATCTACATTTTATCATATGTAATATTCAATGAATAAGGATCTGTGTCATTGGAATATTTTGTCATTACTATACCTACTAAACCTTATTAAGCTTATCTAATATCTTGTCATAGAAGAAAATATCTATAGCTTTGAGACAAATATAATTTCACACAAAAATATTTACAATCTTTAGGAATGAAAAGAATATCTAAAGAAACTTTAAAAGAACTTGGGTCTTTATTTTGTTTCTTACTCTTCTAAACCTTCCACTAAATTATATAGATTTTCTCTACAGAAGCTAAATATTGTGTAATGCTCCAGATTTCACCCTTTCAGCTATTATGGACCTCATTTGAAACTTACATAACAACAATTAAGGTAATAATCATAATTATTAACATTCAGGGAATGGGTGTGGCTCTAGTGGTTAGCATTCTCAGACTGTGAATCAGAGAGTCCATGGTTTGTAATCATTCACTGGAAAAATGTGTTTCATGCTTTAAGAATGATGGTCAAATCATAGTATTTGATCAGAGAAATGTTGGCAGTGGGTGTAGTCTATCGGCTGAAAATTAGGGATGGCCATGTGCAGATAGTCCTTTGTATAGCTTTGCATGAAAATTCTGAAACAAACAAATAAATGCATGTTGTGATAATGGTTTATAGCCATCATTGTTACCATTCTCTGTAGTATACCTTCATAACATAGCTTTCATAATTTTTTTCTTATCAGAACTCACAGAAGAAAAGCATCGTCTAGAACAATTGGTCTTCACAAGTTGTTGGACTTTGTTCTCAGTGTGATGTCCAGCTCTTGCAGTCAGTGGAGGCTGGTAGTAGGAAGACTAGGACGTATAGGACATGGAGAGTTAAAAGACTGGGCTTCTCTGCTTGGTAGAAAATCGCTCCTACGCTACACCCGGCAGTTGCGACAATTATGTAGTCAGTGTGCTGTGCTTAGTGCTGTCGATATTCCTTGTATCCTGTCAGCATGTTTGGTGTCCCTTGAACCAGATTCATCCTTTCGGATCATGCCAGACCAGTGCACCTCAGACAATCGGTTTGGTAGCAGCAGTCATGGCTGTGAACTCAGCACACCTGAAGATGCCAGCTGTACACATATCTTGGTTTATCCAACTTCTGCCACATCTCAGGTTTTGAATTTCAGTTTTTATATAGCTGGTTAGTAAGAAATAATGGTGTGAGTTAGGTAACTAACCCTCCCTTCTTTACTGATAAACACTGTCATAGCCAGTCAGTGAAAATTTGTCATTGTAAACATTGTCCAATTTCAGTGCTCTGTGGATAATGAATTAGAATTATTTCATATTTATACAATAATTTTATTCAAAAGTTTTCACTCAAAGTACTTTTTTTTTAAATATTTAACTGTAAACAATTTAAGTGTAAAGTTAATTGTCTCTTATACTTCTGAACTCTCATTGAGTGAAAGAAAAAAGTAAAACTACACGTTTTTCTTGTAATTTTCTATCAAATTTCATCTGCTCTTTTGTAGTATAATTATAGTTTATGAGAATGTTTATGGTGACAGTATAAATGTTATTACTTTGTAATTTTCATTACTCCAGTTCACAGAATTGATTGATTTGATAGTTTTATTCAATAATTCATATTACCTAACCCTATAATATATTAATTGGAACTATAATTTCATCTTAAAGTATTAAAAATGAAGAAGGTACTAACTTTGAGAAATGTTTTCTAGTCCTCCCAGGCTACTTTCCAGCAAGAGCATATTGATCCTCTTGCAGATGATGACTTTCTTCGAACCCTTGATATCACAGAAGAACAGGACATTAGTGACCTCATTGGATTGGCAGATACCTTAACGCACAGTCCAATTGGTTCTCCTCGACGAGACTGTGGAAGTCCAGGTGGTAGACACTCCCCATTCCACCATAATGGTCCTGTTAAGGTATTTTTCATGTGAATAATCCACCCTTCTGTTAACTCTCATATCAGTAACTTTGTATAAATTAGGTTTTGTTTCTTTAAGTCCTGATAAAACATGTTGCTCTGCATAGATGAGGTTTTGTCATAGATTACATTATAAAATAATAAGACAAAAGTACCAAAAGTTTTGGATAATCATTTTTGAGTATCATCCAGATTTTGCCCTAATAAGGGGAGGAGCAACCTTGCGAGTTTTATTTACATGAATAGCATATACTGATTTCTTATATCAAAGGTGATGTCCTGATAGTATAACCTAAAATTTTATACCATAATTCAAAAATTAGAGTTTAGGTAGTGTAACAGGAGACCACCAGGAGGAGCCATTACAACTACTACAACAGCCATTGGCTCTTGGCTACTATGTGTCCACAGCCAAGACAGGACCTCTGCCCAGGTGGTTTTGGTCCTCCTGTCCACACCTGAAGGATGCTTGTCCTGTCTTCCTGAAGGTGTGTACATTATTAGCTATTGCTCTGATTTCCTCAACAAGTGTATTGTGCTACTAGAATATCTGCTGTTTCTGTTAGTCTGTTTAAAATCTTTTGTGTTTTTAATATCTTTAAAACTGGTAGTTTTATAGTATCATTACTTTAAACTTTTTAGTCATTAGATTTTAAATCCTTTCTGTTTTAGCAACCAGGTAACCAACTTCTATAGTTTACTGTTCACAAGATTTTTTATTTTTTTCTCTGTAGTCAGTTTTCAAAGTGATTTTTATATTCATAGTCTGCCCTCCACATCCACTCACCAACTGTTCAGCAAAACTCAGACGAATTGCTTCACACTAACCAGCATGTTAGAAACTGCCATCCTCTTGATTCCAATTTGACCACAGACGTTCTCAGGTAAGTGATACTTGGAAATGTTGTTGTATTTCTAAACTAAATTAACTGTCATTATCTTTTAAAATTATAATAAATAATTAAAAATAACATTTTGTATTTACACAATAAAACTTTATTGAAGCCGTACAGCTTCCACTTTAAAATAGAAATATCACTCTACACGTACATGTTTGAACATGATCTATGTCATCCTCAGGAGTAACTTACAAGACTATTTTCTTGCTGAACATGTAAAACTACCCAAAATACAATATTATTGGAAAAAAACTTTAGTTTCAGCTCAGCCTCAAAGTTTTATATCATTAAATATTAGAGAAACAATAGAAATAATGGAATATATAAAACAAAAGCAAGTAATAAAATGAGATGAAGGACCAGCAAGTCAATACATTGATATATATGGCGAGATATATTATAATTTTTTTTTATTATTACACCAAGAAAATATGCAAATAACAATGAAGTAATGCAACAAGGGGAAAGTATAAAATAGTCTTGTAAGTTACTCCTGAGGATGACATAGATCATGTTGAAACATGTACACGTAGAGTGATATTTCCATTTTAAAGTGGAAGCTGTACGGCTTCAATAAAGTTTTTATTGTGTAAATACAAAATGCTGTTTGTAATTATTTATTATAATTTTAAAAAAATTTAAACACAAGTGCCGGTAGTGCATATTTAACTGTCATTATTTTACCTTTGAATTTAATGAAAGAACTTTAACTTTATCTGCCTGGACATTATTTACTGCGTATGTCACAAGGTTTTAGTGTGACACACATGTGACTTGTTTTCTCTATTGTAATGGTCAGCACCCTTAGGGCTAGTCATTGGAGTTTTGACTATACTGTCAATAACACCAAATTTATTTATTTGAGGATTGCAGTAGCGAGTGGAGCTCACAAGTTTATGTTAAAATATGTTACATTGTTTATGACTAAACTACAGTTAAAGTTTTAGAGTGTTTTAGTTTAAAAACAATGAACTGTAGGTTCAGCAAAATCAATTTTATTCAAACATTTATTGTTTAGAATAATTTTCAAATCATCTCAGAACCTCGCTCTATTTTTAAACGTTACACTATGGAATTACATTACCCACGAGCTGCTCACTTGAACCATTTTAATTATATTATTATTACTTACTTTACCCAATCTAGTCTTAAATAACTTTAAAAGATCCATAATTTTAGATTTTACCTACTTTTATAATAATAAATAAAGAATAAATATGAAAAACATAATATAAAGTACTTATCTGAATCTTCTTTTTTCTTGATGTCAGTTGTCGATGACATTTAACCCTACTTTTTTATACTAATGGTAGTAATGCACAAAATTATTTTTATTTAATTAAATAATGCACCAAAGAACATAGACTAATAACGACCTTATTTTGTAACACAGGCATCTTTTACTTACACCGTTTCTTCATGTATATATTCACTTAGAAAACTCAGAAAATCATTATAACTTCTTTCTTAAACTCTTTTAAAATGCTAAAAATACTTGAAGCAACTGGATATTTTTGCTATGCATCTTCTCTATTTTATCCACCACCCCTTGAATATGTACAAAATTAAACATAAATTACTCACTATTGAATCATCATTGCTCAGACAAACGATAATTTTTATAGCCTTCAATTTGGTTATAGAGCTATTAAATAGAAAATCAGACTACTCCTGTCACATTCTCTCTTACATTTAATTCTATATTATCTAAAACTAACAGAAAGCCAAGGTTTTCATCTATCAATTGATGTGTTATAGTACATTGTTTTCTGGATGGAGAATTGTTAGTTTCACTGTTAGTACAAGCTTCACTCCCATGGGAAAGATAACAACTAGATTGGATGCATTTGTAATAGCTCTTGTCACATACATAGAAAGCCAGAAAAATTGTGAGAGTTAGGGGAAATTGTCTACTTTTTGCATGTTATTAGTCTATGTTCTTTGGTGCATTATTTAATTAAATAAAAATTATCTATTGCATTAGAGTAATTCAGATTTATTTGGATTTTTTTTTTTGGTGGTTATGAGTGTTGGTCAAATCGAACAATGTTGTACAGAATTAGGGGGGAGAAATTATCAGATAAAATTTAAAGTTTTAGTGAAAACAAGCATTTGAAATGTATTTAGGAGGTTTTAGAGAATAAACAAATCAAATCTGAGATTTTTGAGATGAAGAAAAGTATTTTTAATCTTAACATGAAAATCACTTTGCACATGGACTATTCAAAAGAAATACTTGAAATATTCACGGACAAATCTTAAGTAAAAATTCTTTTTTAAAAAACTGATTTTTTGTGTACAAATACTGCTAAATTTTGTGAAGATATAGACACTGTATTAAAAGTTATAGTATTAAAACTATATAAAAGTAAAAATGGGCTTGTGATTGGTCCTTGGGACTGACCCTGTATAGAGAGAGTTAATTCTGAAAAAAATTATATACTTTACGATTCTCACATCAATTAAAATTGTATGATAAACTAATCACAATACTGTTAAACTAGAGAAACTTATGCTAGAACTTGGAGTTTGATCTCTGTGGTGGGCACGGCACAGATAGCCCATTGTGCAACTTTGTGCATTACAACAGACTGATTATTTTAAAGATGAATTTTGTACTTTTATTGTTATCTAACATCAACCTGGCATGGTGTGGTGTGGTAGCTAGTTTGCTCTACTTAGAAAGTGATGTTCACGGAACATGCTTGTCCTGTATGGTTGCCAACGGGGCCAGCCACCAAGGTGTAAAAATTCTTGGTGTACAAAATTACTGGCTGATCCAAAACTAGTTTGGATTAAGTTATAACAGAAAAAAATTCTTATCTAGCATCATTCCTTAAAAAAAAATTGTCATGTAGCTTAATTCTTAGTTACATGCAGTTGGTACTTACTCTAAACAATGATAATCTTGTTTCTAGTTGTAAAAAGTATACTATGTGTTACAAAATCACCCACAGCTCAAAAACAAAGTGACTTTAAATGGTTTAAATATTAATTGTCCAAATTCAAAGAATATGTGAAACTACCCTAAGAATTAAAATATTTTATAATTTGTGATGATTACATATTCTTTTGCTCTGTTAAAATTTTTGCAGAAAAAAAGTAATATCTCAATATGTGCAACTTTCTCTCTCTTGATCTGAATTTTTTATGTAACAAAATGTTAATTGAGTTTTATTTGGAAGCTTTTACTTACCAATAACATGACTCCTTTATAGGAATATAGGTAAAACTGAAAATTGTTGCACTGTTTGAAAGGTTTGGTAGTAAATAGACTTATCTTTGAAAAAAAAAAGTATTATTCTAATTTGTTTTGTAGGTATGTACTGGAAGGATACAATGCTTTATCTTGGCTGTCGTTTGATTCAGCGACAAATGACCGCCAATCCTGCCTTCCTCTTCACATCCAAATTCTCATGCAACAATACCATGCAGCTGAAGCCATCCTGTAAACTACATCCTCCAACATATCAGGGACGGCACTGCCAGTTTCATGTTCCAAAAGCCTTGAAATTGGTGATGGTGACCTGTTTACTGCACACAAGCGTTCAAACTGTATAGTAAATGTATTATTAAAGTTGGTACTATTTATTTTGTATATAAGATATTTGTGTATGGTTAGATGTTTATCTGCTGTAACAGCAGTTAAAGCTCACTAAATTTTGATATTGTTATTTTTATCACCATCATATGTAAAGAGAGAATATTATATGATCTTCAGAAAATGATAAACTTTATATTTAAGATAATCAATTGTGTATAGCTTTTAATACAAAAATGTTTTGATTAAAATTTGTTTACATTATACTATATACTTGCATCTGCCTTAAGTTTGTTTTTCCTGTTAATGATTCACTGACGATATTATACTGTTCAGAATAAGTTGACACTGATATCCACCACCACTTAATTATATCAAATATTAGATTAAAGTATTTGAAAAATGCTACACTTTCTCAGAGAACTTGTCAGCTGAAGGATGGAACTTGGTTAGCTGTTGTACTGAAGATGAACAGCCCGTAATGTGAGCTATGCAGAGGTAGCAAACACAAAACTTTTATATAAAGATACATATAGTTTAAAAAGTGACATGCACTTATTTTTAACTCCATTCCTGTTGTCCACAAGACTTGTTTATGCCCTAGTGTTTTCACTGTATTTACATTAAGAAGAAAAGTTAGAATTTTCCCATTACCCAGAAGTGGACAGCGCTGTGTTGATAGACCTTCTGTTCTTGAATGGAGAACGTGGGTCACTTGAGATTTTAACTTGGAGCTAAATTTATTCATCTGACTGACATTTTTCAAATTTCTATAAAACACGACAATATCTTTTAAGACTACTGCAGTGAGTCATTAAAAAGAAACTGTTGAACCGTAACTCACAGAGAAGCTCAACTTGGTGAGGTACTGTCTTCACCATACCACCAGCCCAGAAACTGAAGGAAAAACACTAGTAGAGAAATTTGTAGCCAGTGTATCAGCTAATCTATTGGTGGCTTCTTTAGAAAGGTATCTAGCAATTTCATGCCAGCTAAGAAAAAAAAACACCTAGCAAATTGTAAATATAAATAACGAATAGAGAAATTTGTGTTAAAATACTGGATAAAAATCTGGGTATATAAAATTTGACATAACAATGTAGTACCTACTTATGAGTCTGTAATCTTCCTGATTCACTTTTTTAACTGTAGTTCTGTTCCTGACAGTTGGTTACATTATAAGGTAATGAAACATTGAGCACTAACAGAAAGTGAAGAGAGGTGATATTAGGGGAGGCAAAGGATGAAAGGTGCCATGCTAAATATCTGCCTACCTCCCCAAAATTACCATTAAAAACTAAGCTCACAGTATTGAGCAACTGTAGATGAGAAAACCCAACCCAATTTTTAGTTAGTCCTCTTACCTTTGCTAGTCGATCAATGTGTGTGAACTGATAACATTTGAAAGCTACTCATTGTGAGTCACCTTGGTAATTTTGATTGTAATAAAACAAAAGTTCATGAAAACATTCTGCAGCAAAATTAATTCTAATTAATTCCTAACTTATCTTCCATGATTCTCCTATTTCAGAATTTTTATAATATATATATATTCTTCTTCTCCAATTGACAAAATAAAAGGCTTTTACTTATATTTTTTAATAGTATAAATATATATACTGTGTTGTTGTTGGGCTTAGGATTCTTCTACAGTAGGTGTCTGTGACTTGTTAGCAATAAATTCAACGATAAATGAACAGCACGCGCTTCACTTGTTTTCAAAATAATATATATATATACACCTGGAAAAAAGTTAAGCACCCCCGTGTTTTTTTCAAGTGATTCAGATTCAACGTTCTTG